AGGACATTTGCGTTGCCCTCCATCGTCTTTTCATTTTGCTCATCCTTAACTTTTTGGTGTGCTATTATGAGAAAAATCTTCAAATATGTGGGGTGGAATTGACACACACCTCTAGATAATCCGAATTGACACACCTCTAGATAATACATGGGTCAAAGAGGAAGTCTCTAAGGAAATTTACAAATACAAAGAACTGAATGAAAACAATAACACAGAATGTCAAAATATGTGGGATGGGCCGGCCCGTGGCTCACTCGGGAGAGTGCGGTGCTGATAACACCCAGGCCCCGGGTTTGGATCCCATATAGGGATGACCAGTTCGCTCACTTGGGAGAGCGTGGTGCTGACAACACCAAGTCAAGGGTTAAGATCCCCTTACCGGTCATCTTTTAAAAAAAAAAAAAAGAAAAAGAAAATATGTGGGATGGAGCAAAAGCAGTACTGAGAGGCAAGTCTGTAGCACTAGATGCTTACATAAGAAACAAGGAAAACTCAGATCAGTAACCTCATTCCTACTTCAAGGAACCTTTGTGTACTGTTGGTGTAAATGTAAATTAATACAGCCATTATGGAAAACGGTATGGAGGTTTCTCAGAAAAGTAAAGATAGAATAAACCGTAGGAGCCAGCAGTCCCACTTCTGGGTATATACCCAAAGGAACTGAACTCAGTATGTGAAGAGATACCTACGCTCCCATGTTCAATGCCACATTATTCACAGTAGCCGAGACACGGAGGCAACTTCTATATCTATCATAGGATGAATGTGATACAGGAGGCGCTCAGCTTTCCTGGGCTTGGGTTTCAGGACATGCCTCTGGGTTTCCAGCCCCTCCCTGAGGTCTCAGGCCCCCACCTCTGAGCTCTCCCTGGAGAAAAGTAACGGTTGCCAGACCTATTCTTAGCACCAACACATAAAAAGAGACAACAGGGGGCCGGCTTATGCAATCCAGTGGCCGGTCATGTTCAATTGCACAGAACATTCTGTGCATACACCTGGGAACCACCCCTTTAATCGAATATTCACTAGATAGAAAACCTATAGAAGCCAAGTCCCAGCCGAAAGCAGAGTGGTTGCTCACTTCCTGGAGGCGAGTGCACTTCCCTGGCTGAGGTGTGTGTAATTTACTTTGTATCTAACTAACTTCCAGTAAGTGGCTGCTCACTCTCTGGAGCCAGCCTGCACTCTGTACTGAACTTTAAGTACGTTCTTCCTGCTTTTGTGTCAGACTCAATGTGGGCCCTGCTCAGTCTCTGGAGCTAGGCTGCACTCTCTCTGTGGAACCTATATTTCTTATCTGTTATATTAAACTTGTTCTTACTTTCTACTGTGACTCTGCCCTTGGATTTTTTCCTGTGGTGGAGTCAAGAACCTGGTAAGAGGACGGGGTGGGTCGAGGCTGACTGTCGGGTCCCCCAGACCCCTACCTCCAACATCAAATGGATAAAGAACATGTGGTATGTGTAACAAGGGAATACTGTTCAGCCTTAAAAAAAAAGGAAATTCTGTCAGTTGTAACAATATGGATGAACCTGGAGGACATTATACTAAATGAAATAAGCCAGGCATGGGAAGACAGATACTGCATGATCTTGCTCATATATGGAATCTAAAAAAAGTTGAGTTGACAGAATTAGAGAGAAGACTAGTGATTACGCGAAGCCAGGGGAGGGCAGTGGATGAGGAAAGCGGAGATGTTAATCAAAGGGTAGGTGTACAGTTTCAGTTGGACAGGAGGAACAAGCTTTAGTGATCTATTGCACAGACTGGTGACTAAAATAACAATGCATCATTTTTTCAAAGTTGCTAAAAGAGTAGATTTTTTTTTTTTTTTTGGACTGGTAAGGGGATCGCAACCCTTGGCTCGGTGTTGTCTGCACCACGCTCAGCCAGTGAGTGCACTGGCCATCCCTATATAGGATCCGAACCCGCAGCCTCAGCGCTACCAGTGCCGCTCTCTCCTGAGTGAGCCACGGGGCTGGCCCTAAAAGAGTAGATTTTATTTTATTTTTATTTTTATTTTTTTTCCCCTTTTTTGTCTTTTTTCGTGTCCGGCAATGGATCACAACCCTCAGTGTCGCNAAAAAAAGTTGAGTTGACAGAATTAGAGAGAAGACTAGTGATTACGCGAAGCCAGGGGAGGGCAGTGGATGAGGAAAGCGGAGATGTTAATCAAAGGGTAGGTGTACAGTTTCAGTTGGACAGGAGGAACAAGCTTTAGTGATCTATTGCACAGACTGGTGACTAAAATAACAATGCATCATTTTTTCAAAGCTGGCCCTAAAAGAGTAGATTTTTTTTTTTTTTTTGGACTGGTAAGGGGATCGCAACCCTTGGCTCGGTGATGTCTGCACCACGCTCAGCCAGTGAGTGCACTGGCCATCCCTATATAGGATCCGAAACCGCAGCCTCAGCACTACCAGTGCCACTCTCTCCTGAGTGAGCCACGGGGCTGGCCCTAAAAGAGTAGATTTTATTTTATTTTTATTTTTTATTTTTTTCCCCTTTTTTGTCTTTTTTCGTGTCCGGCAATGGATCACAACCCTCAGTGTCGCGCCCGTACCGGACCTGGACCGGCAACGGGATCGCACCCCTCGGTGTCGCGCCCGCACCCCGCTCAGCCAGTGAGCGGGAACCAGTCTGTATGTGGGACCCAAACCCTCAGCGGGAGCGCCGCCGCACTCCCAAGCGGTGCACTGTAGCAGTGCACCACCGGGCCGGCCCTAAAAGAGTAGATTTTAAATTTTTCACCACACAAAGTAATAAATATGTGAAGTAATAGATGTGTTAATTAGCTTGATTTAATTATTTCACAATGTAAACATTATCAAACATTGCAATGTACCCCATAAGTACATAATATATACACTTATTTATCAATTAATAAATAAAATTTAAAAAGATAAAAAATGAAATTAGATAAGGAAGCGCAAAATCAATCCAAAGTAAGCAGAAGAAAGGATTTTATAAATTTGAGGAGAAATCAATGAAATGGAAAACAGAAAAAACAATTGAAAAACATTAATGAAAAAGGAGCTGGTTCTTTGACAAGATCAAGAAAATCGACAAACCTCTAGCAGGAAAGAAAGATAAGACACAAAATGCCAATAGCTGGAATGAAACATGCTATAACAACAGGCCCTGCAGACATCAAGAGGATAATATGGGAATAATATGAACAAATAAACTACACAAATAAACTTAATAACTTAGATGAAATGGATCAATTCCTTGAAAAATACAAACTGCCATAATTCACACATGTGAAGTAGATCATTTGAATAGCCCTATAACTATTAAGAAAATTGAGTTTATAATTGTAAAACTCATAAAAACAAAATCTCCAGGCCCAGATGGTTTCTCTGCAGAATTCTACCAAACATTTAAAGAATTAACACCATTTCTACACAATTTCTTCCAGAAAACAGAAGAGAAGGGAGCACTTCCCAGTTGATTTTATGGAAGTGGTAATATCATGCTACCAAAATGTGACAGTATAGAAAAAGGAAACTACAGACCAATATCCCACAATAATATAGATGCAAATATCCTTAACAAAATAATAGCAAACAAATTTCAGCATGCATAAAAAAATTATGCATCATTACCAAGAGGGGTTTATTCCAGGGATACTATCTGGTTTAATATTCAAAAATCAACCAATTTAATCCACCATATTAACAGGCTAAAGAAGATAAATCACATGGTTCTACCTATTGATGCCATTCCTAATTATTCTGTCAGAGGAATGAAAGAGCCCACAGGGCAACCGTGACAAGGATTGGTTCGTATGTGTTTTTCTGGCCAGCACAGTTCAGGCAAATAACAAAAGGCAAGAGGGATAAACTAGGAAAATGATGGAAGGGCTCCACACCTGCAAGGGCACCTCTGGGCTCCATGGAGGGGAGCAGCTCCTCGAGTGAATATCTGCACGTTTCTTGGCTGGGAGGATGCTGTGTTTCCCCACCTCCAGTTACAGGTGGCAGAAACATTGATACATGGAAGTTTTATAGCATCACCCTTGGCAATACTTCATGCAATGAAAAATCGTTTGTTACAATTATGAATGGTCAATATTTGTCTGAAAAATATTTGCACTTTGAGTTAGCTGGTATAAAGCACTTATTCTTATTTCTTGAAAAGTAGGGCACCTCCTAGTCTAAGGAAATAATTTGTTTCCTATTATATGCTATTTTGAATAAAATTGTATAGGTTTTACTGATTTTCTTTTTAGTAATTTTACATCTAGGACTTTTTTTTTTTTTTAAATCTGCTTCACTCTCAGGCACTGGTAACTCGGTTCTCTTTCCTATCACTGAGACTCTCGTATTCTCTTTTTGTCCAACACTGCTTTTTAAAATGCTTGGAATGTATTTCTGTCCTTCCTTGGTTTTCAATTTTCCAAGCTGTTTTTACTTATTTAGCATTTATTGAACACCTACAACTCATTGTCATGGTGAATACTGTGGTGATAAATGTCATTGTAGCTGGATAAAATAAGTCTCCAGTAGAGGTATGGCCAAGGGAACCAGACCAGGCCTCAAGGATGGAGCTGGAGTTGGGTATTGATGGATGAGTAGGAGTTTGCTCGGACAGCACGTGAGACAGGAAATTTCTGACTGTGGGAGGAGAATGAACCACGGCACAGAGCTGTGATAACACTTCTCCATGCATAAGTCAATACGAGTGATTTTCAGTTTATTTACTTTTATCTTCTTTCTGTAATTCATGTGCAGTTTTCTCTAACTTACAGGTTAGGCTTCTTCAAGTGTATTTTTTTGTTCTTATTTATTGCTTTTAAAGTAGGAATTTGAAGTCATTCCTGATGGTGTCCTTCATGGCCTTTGTTAATAGAAATCATTTTTGCTTTATTGCTTGAAGATAATGAAACAGAATGCTTTGAACTGAGCCATGTTCATGTGTTCTTAATGTGTCACCCAGTGTCCACAAGGGCCAAATGCCATGTTAATGGTGAGGTCTGTCTGTGTTCCTCTGTCTAGATTAAGTTTGACAGTGTGGAGGTGTGTGTCTGCTGTGAGCTGCAGCACCAGTCGTCCGGCTGCAGCAACCTCGGGGAGACGCTGAAGCTGAACCCGCTGCAGGAGAACTGCAACGCCGTGAGGCTGACCTTGAAGGTGACGCCGCGGGCGCTGCTTGTGCATGCATTCCATCCCATGCCTTACGGTCACTGTAGGAAGGTGGGCTAACCTGTAGATTCCTTTCAGCTCTTAATCATTCAGGTAGGTTTGATGCAAGAGGGAAGATCTTTCTGGAGAATGTTTTAAAGGACTGTAGATTTTCATTTTGAGGGTGTCACTTTCTGGATCTTGTTTTCCATTTTCACCATTTCATTTTCTTGCCTCTGACTTACGCGAATGGTCGAAAAAGGTCCTTACAAATGAGGATGTGGTGCATTCTATTGCTTTCCTGACATTTTGCTGTTACACCATTGGGGAACAGATGGTTATTTATTTTGCTTTTTAAAAGATAGTTGGAGAAAGAAATTTTACAATCTCCCATAGCAATCTATTCTCATGTATAGCATCTGATCTTTAAAAAAAAATGGCATGGAAAATTTGTTGTATTATAGTGGTTGAGTATCCCACATCCAAAAATCCAAAATCTGAAATGCTCCAAAATCTGAAATATTTTTGAGCACCAACATGACACTCGAAGGAATTGCTCATTGGAGCATTTCAGATTTTGGATTTCTGGATTTGGGATGCTCAGATGGTAAGTGTAATGCAAATATACCAAAATCCAAAACACTTCTGTTCCCAAGAATTTCAGATGATACTCAATCTGTATTATTCCTTTTTTTTTTTTTTCATTCAGGTCAGGCTGGAGAGCCTCACTGAGTGGCCCATCCCCATGGGTGTTCACACTGCCCAGGACCGTGGTGAGAGACGAAGGCAAAGAAAGATGACACCAAAGTTCTTAATGAGTTGTGTAAAAACACTTAATTAGAAATAAGGACTGTCAGAGCCGGTGGCATGGGTGGGGCTCAAGGGAGGAAGGGTTTATAACTGAGGTGAGAGTGCAGTGGTCTGAAGGTAGCAGCAGTGGCTTAGGTATTAGGAGAAGAGGCAGCCTGCCCCTGCCCACCAGCTGAGGTCCTGTAGAGGGAGGAATGGCCTTGCAGGGAGCGGGAGGCTGGGTTTCAATTGAAATCAAGAAGACAAGGGGCTGTTGCAAGTGAGCATCTGTTTATTACTGTTTTCTAACTTTGATGTTCTCCAAAAAAAAATTTTCGGCTGCCCTAGTTCCTTTGCATTTCCATATAAATTTTAGAGTGAGCCCGTCAATTTCTATAGAAATCTTACTGGGATTTTGATTGAGATTGTGTCGAATCCATACTCGTACATCACTTTGAAGGGAATCTACATATTCGTGACATAGATCTCCATTTATTTAGGTCTTCTTTTATTTCATCAGTGTTTCTTTTATTTCATTAGTGTTGTATAGATTTCAGTATGTACATGTTTTCAGTATATGGAGAAACATTTTATAATACTTATGCCTACACTATTTCATATTTATTAGTGCTATTTTAATGGTTCTTTTAAATTGTCTCTTATTCGTTGCGAGTATATAGAAGTTTGATTTTTGCTACTGATCTTGTTAAACTCACTTATTAGTTCTAGTAGATCTTTTATAGATTCTTGTGGATTTTCTGTATCAACAATCATATGATACGTAAAGAGAGGCAGTTTTACATCTTCCATTCTGTACTAGGGTTCTCTAGAGAGACAGAACCAATAGGACAGATACAGATACATGAGAGGAGATTTATTAGAGGAATTGGATCACGCAATTAGGGAGGCTGAGAAGTCCCACGACAGGCCATCTGCGAACTGGAGACCCTAGAACACTGTTAGCATGGCTCAGTCCAAGTTGGAAAGCCTCAGAACCAGTGAGGCCAGTGGTACAATTCTAAGTCTGAGGCAGAAGGCCTGAGAACCCAGGGTGGGGGGGATGGAGAGGGTGCTGGTGTAATTCCCAGAGTCTAAAGGCCAGAAGATCTGGAGTTCTCATGTCCAGGGGCAGGAGAAAAAGGGTGTCCCAGCTCCAGAAGAAAGAGAATGAATTGGCCTTTCTCTTGTCTTTTTGTTCTATGCGGGCCCTCAGCCGATTGGATGGTGCAGTCCTTGCTTACGGTGGATTTTCCCCACTCGGTCCACTGACTCACATACCAGTCTCCTCCAGGAACACCCTCACAGACACACCCAGGAATAATGCTTCACTAGTTCTCCAGATATTTCTCAATGTAGTGGAATGGACACCTGAAATTAACCCTCACATGTTCCAGTGTGGGTGCCTCTTCTTTCTTTTCCTTGCCTATTGCGCCTACTGGACCCTCCAGTGCGGTGCTGAGTAGATCTTGGAGAGCATATGCCAGCGTTGCCTTGCTCCTGGTTTTAGGGATTAAGAACAACGTCAGCTCTTCGTTTTTCACAGATACCCCTTTTCAGGTTGTGGAAGTTCCCCTCTATTCCTAGTTTGCTTAGAGTTTTTACCATGAGTTCATGTTGAATTTTGTCTAAGTCTTTTTCTGCATCTGCTTAGATGTTCCTACACTTTGTCTTCTTTAGTCTGCCAGCATGGTGAATGACATGGACTGACTTTTGAATGGTGAGTCAGCCTTGCATTCCCAAGATAAACCCCACTTGTTCATATTTTCCTCATCTGTGTAGAGTCTGCAGATGACCCTGTCTATCAAAGGTTCTTCGTGTCTGTGACTGTTCTTTATTCCTAGCATTTCCATTTTATTCTTCCTATTGCTTCCATCTCTCTGCTAAATTACCTAGATGATCATGCATATTGTCCACCTTTGCCATTAGAGCTGGCGTCTGACTGCATCCGCCCCAGGTAAGTGCTCATGTCTCTCCTTGGAAGGTCTGCCTTTTCCTTGGAATGTGGGTTAGTTGGTTGCTCTGTGTCCTTAGCTGTCTGATGGGCTCAACCTAAATTGGGCATTTGCAGTATTGTTTTGTTGTTGTAATGGTGGGGCCATGCTCTTTCCAGCTCTCTATATCCTGAGCAGAATCTGGAATCATTATCCACATGATGTTTTCACCCTGGACACAGAATTCTTGAGGAGCATTTTTTCCCCTTAGGGGTTTATAGGTGACATACCATTCTCTTTTGGCATTGAATATTTATGTAAGGAAAAATCTTAAATTCAGCTAATACTTTCTCCCTTTAAGGTGTGTGGTGGTCATTAATGCTGTTTCAAAATATTTCTAGCTCTACAACTTCCCCTTATGTGGTAAGACCGGACTTCCTAGTCCCCTGTGGTTGTGGAGGGCAAAGTCAACAAACCTTAATGAGTGTATGTATCACCTCCAAGCAGGAGTATTTTACTGTGGTGTGAGATCCTCCGGAGCTCTCCTTCCCTCTGTCACAGTAAGTGGCAAGTTACAGATGGTGGCTACACCATCAGCCTGGGTTATTGCAGTGAGCCCTGTACCTTACTCACACTGGACATGTAGCATGAATAAGAAATAAACTTTCATTGTTTTAATCCACTGAGATCTGGGGGATATTTGTTACTACAGTGGAAACTAGCCCATACTATCTGACACCAGGCAACTTTTTAAAAAATCTACATGTCAATAGTACTTTTCAGTGATCAAGTCCATTAACTTGACTATGATATGTCTTGATACTGATCAATCTTTATCAAGTTCTCCATGATACACAGTGTACCCTTTCAACCCATGAGTTTACATCTTGCTTTACTTCAGAAAATTTTCCTGGAACTTTCTCTTTGGGTTTTTTTCTGTTCTGTTCGAGGACAACAGCGCTTTTCTAAGACCACTTTTATCTGTCTTTCCTAATTGTCTTTTTTTGTCTAATTTTTGTTCGTCCTTGTCCCTCTCATTTTGATCAGTTTTTCTGAAGCCTCTCTAACTTTTCTGTGGTGAGTATTACCTTTTTGCCCTGCTCTTGACGTGATCTTGAGTTTTGGTGGCTCCTTTCCCAGCCTTTTCTGTCTTTATCGTTAATTTCTTTTTATTTTTTATTTTTTATTTATTTATTATTTTTCTTTTTTGTCTTTTTTCGTGTCCGGCAATGGATCGCAACCCTCAGTGTCGCGCCCGTTTATTTATTTATTATTTTTCTTTTTTGTCTTTTTTCGTGTCCGGCAACGGATCGCAACCCTCAGTGTCGTGCCCGTACCGGACCGGGACCGGCAACGGGATCGCAACCCTCGGTGCTGCGCCTGCACCTCGCTCAGCCAGTGAGCG